CTTCTGTGTCCAACGGAGCAGAAGCCCTTCCTTTGTCCACGGGAAGTATGGTAATTTCCTTGTTGGTCAGATCTTTGAGTGCCTTCCTTTCCTGGCTGGTGATGTTGGACTCAAGAGAATTGGCGTTCTTGAGATTCCCAACAATGTCATTGCGAAGTTGGTTCGCTTAACCTATCATCACGGTACATTCCCATTCTCTCGGGCTGTCTTACTACCAGTGGCGGATCTAGGGGGTGGCTCACTACCCCCCCCCCCCCCCCCCGTTGAGCAAAAAAAAATATGTGCTTCTGTAGAGAAGAAGTACAATGGTTGGGAGAAATTTACCAAATATTTGGAGAAAAAAAGAGAACATGCATGTATGTGTCGGGTAAAATTTTACACGATATTTTGAAAACTTGTCTAGCACTAGATGGCGTCCTACGTGGGTATTAAAAAAAAACAACTTCGACCCGCCTGTTTATCATAAAATATACCGCCGGCCACGAATATAGTGTAACGGACACGATTCGCCACCTTGGCTTGACACGGAGTATTTGTCAGGATGCCCGTGTCTGGCCTGGCGCTCCCCGTCGTTCGTTTGGACAAAATATATGCCCGTAGCTTGATGGCTGGAGTTCTTTCACTGCTCACGTCACAGGGCGTATTTAATAATCATGCATCCTTCGACTGCAATCGGTCACCCCAATCGTTGTGCACAGCAACAGTCAATTGAACATCCTTCGAGCAATCAATCAATCAATCACCATGCTTTGTCAACTCCTGTCACTGATTCTCGATCTCATTGTCTAACTACGGACCAATCATGAGTTGCATATCAAATTCCTTTAATGCGAACCAACCAGCATTCAGGGTAAACTCGATCAACACATGTACAAGTGTAGACTTGATGTATGACTTAACTAAAGACTAAGCTTAAGGCCAGCGCCAACTATAAGGCCAGGCCGGCCTCGGTGAGGCTGGCCTGTACCGGATACAGTGCAGTGGAAAGTCCTAATCACACAATCCTGACCATCCTAAAAATTTCCCTATACATAACCGTATAAAAGAACAATTATGTTCTCGTTAGTAAAACAACACTTCAACACAACATTTCTACTAATCCCATAAAATCTTCACATATAATCTTCAGTATAACCCCTTATTCCTGATTAGATCACTACTATACAAGTAATATCCCTAAAAGAAACATGATAATTGCACCAACATGATCAAAATATGTAATTTATGCTCATTTTCCTTCAGTTTGGTAATTGCTAAATCAACGATGCACCATATTGCTATAGCGCATGCTCGTACAACAGAAAATGCTTAACCTTCGTCCAATACTAAAACACTGATTTGTTACACGATTCCCTTCCCTCCCAAGCTTGGTCCCCAAGCTAACTTATCTCTAACTTATGCAACAACAACAAATCATAACATGTTATCAAAACATATCAAAACTAAAATCCAAGTCTTTTCTGACAGTTCAAAATGGCTCGCAAAAGTGTTCAACTGTTCAAGAGTTAGTTCGTTTCCTGTCCTTCTAGGCACCCCTGGGCTCATTGTTCTTTCTCTCCATTGTCGTTCTACACTTCCGTCAGCTCGATCAGCTGCAACACCGTCAATGCTACCTCCCGTCGTCCCCAAGCTCCGTCAGCTCGACCAGCTGTGACGCAGTCAGTCTTACTGCCCGTTGTCCCCAAGCTCCTTCAGCTCGACCAGCTGTGACGCGGCAGTCTCACTGCACGTCGCCCCCAAGCTTTATCAGCTCGACCAGCTGTGACGCCGTCCGACCTACTGCCCTTCGTCGTCCCCCAGCTCCGTCAGCTCTACCAGCTTGTGACGCCGTCAGGCCTTCTGCCCGTCGTCCCCCAGCTCCGTCAGCTCTACCAGCTTGTGACATCGTCAGACCTACTGCCCGTCGTCCCCCAGCTCAACCAGCTGTGACGTCGTCAGTCTTACTGCCTGTCGTCCCCCAGCTCCGTCAGCTCTACCAGCTTGTGACGCCGTCAGACTTACTGCCTATGGTCCCCCAGCTCCGTCAGCTCGACCACTCCACACCATCAGCTATCCCACCGCTGCCACCATGTGTAGCGGACAGGATTCTGCCACCTTGGCTTGACATGGAATATTTGTCAGGATGCCCCGTGTCGGCCAGGCGCTCTCCGTCCGTTTGGACAAAATATATGCCCGTAGCTTGATGGCTGGAGTTCTTTCACTGCTCACGTCACAGGGCGTATTTAATAATCATGCATCCTTCGACTGCAATCGGTCACCCCAATCGTTGTGCACAGCAACAGTCAATTGAACATCCTTCGAGCAATCAATCAATCAATCAATCATGCTTTGTCAACTCCTGTCACTGATTCTCGATCTCATTGTCTAACTACGGACCAATCATGAGTTGCATATCAAATTCCTTTAATGCGAACCAACCAGCATTCAGGGTAAACTCGATCAACACATGTACAAGTGTAGACTTGATGTAAGACTTAACTAAAGACTAAGCTTAAGGCCAGCGCCAACTATAAGGCCAGGCCGGCCTCGGTGAGGCTGGCCTGTATCGAATACAGTGCAGTGGAAAGTTCTAATCACACAATCCTGACCATCCTAAAAATTTCCCTATACATAACCGTATAAAAGAACAATTATGTCCTCGTTAGTAAAACAACACTTCAACACAACATTTCTACTAATCCCATAAAATCTTCACATATAATCTTCAGTATAACCCCTTATTCCTGATTAGATCACTACTATACAAGTAATATCCCTAAAAGAAACATGATAATTGCACCAACATGATCAAAATATGTAATTTATGCTCATTTTCCTTCAGTTTGGTAATTGCTAAATCAACGATGCACCATATTGCTATAGCGCATGCTCGTACAACAGAAAATGCTTAACCTTCGTCCAATACTAAAACACTGATTTGTTACAATAGTTTACAGCACTGTCATGTTCAGTCGATGTGGTTTAACAGTTTCGTACGAATGACAGGTATCTGCCCAATGTGCAGATATTATCTCTGAAATTTGGATTATTTGGATCATTCCGTTGGGGCGCGCATGTTGAGGTCTTAAAGGTAATACAAAGTTTTGGTATGGGGTCATGAATTTGGTTCAAATGAACATATTGAAAGCATATACGATCCTATAATATTCAGTGATCGTTGTCGCGGTCGAAATCGACTCTAAAGTTATGAAATTGTAAATAATAAACTCTTTATGTTGAATAGCTCCCTCTCAAGGTCAAGATATTAATTAAGCTATAAAACAATGTGTATTGACTAAAATTGACTGATTAGCTATTCTCGTTCGGAAATTATATACCACAACTACATACTCTGAGATTTTCATGGTCGCAGCTACCATTGAACGGCCGTAGGAGCTATTTGAAATTTATCAAAATTTACCGGGAGCACCGGTAAATCTTTATATTCAATTTTTCTCGAAAGTAGAAGTGTTTTAGGGGTTAAAATTTCTGGTGTTTTTAATACATCCACAGGGGCATCCAAATATATTAAAATTGTAAAGAATCACTATCCACCCATTTTTCAAAATTTCCCAAAACTTTGTAATACCTTTAAAGTGTAACATGGTCTTAAAATGTAACACGACTCCCTAGCTCCTGAAAAAATAGTCGCTGCGTGCGCGCGGCGCGTACGCACAGCTGTAGCTAGCTAGCTATACATGATTGTAATGTGTAATATGCTCGCTCTCGCTTATGCTACGGTCACAAAATGGTTCGTACGAACGATAATTTCGTACGAATCTCCCTGTTTTTCCATTGTCTTCTCGAATTTCCATTGTCTGAAAATCGTTCGTAATGGCATTTGTGACCGAGGCTTAAATTGGGCTAACTAGCTAGTTGGCAGCAATAATTCAACATCTTAAAAAAGAGGGGAATAAAGACCGATCAGAGTAGTTCCATGAGTAGGTATTTTTTGTTTATCCCATACACAAAACGTTGCCAATATAGGAGGGAAAATGAGATAGAAAAGAAAAGGAAGAATAGAAAGAAAGTAAAAAGAGTTAAATAAAAACGAAGACACATAATTATAAAAAAAAAATTAATGGAAGAAATAAAGAATATGGGAAAAACGAACTACGAAAAAAAAGAAACATGAAATGTTTTATTAAAGAAAAAATGAAATGAAAGGAAAAGAAATAATATGAATGAAAGGAAGACGACAGAAGAAGGGAAACTATTCTTTTTATTTTATTTCTTTTATTCATTTTCAGTTCTGAATACAAAAAACATCAGTATACATTAAAACATACATAAAGAAATATGAATATATTTTAAACAGAACTGGCCAGTGCTCCAAGATAAACAAATGTTAATGCCTTGTGAGCGCTGACAATTAAGTAGATGTTCAAGCAAAATGCATACATTTGGGAGTACCTGATAATGCAAACGTACAGCAAACAGATTAAGAGAAGAATATTAGGTAGAAAGAATGAAACAAAATGCAAATGGCAAAGGACGGTGTTTCAAGTGCTGTGCAGAGCAGTGATATAACGAAATCTTTGCTATATAAGGTATAAAATTGATAAGAAGACGAAGGGGATGGAAGAGAATTGGTTTGCGTCAAAAAAAGATTATAGATAAAAGTAGGAATAATAAGCAGGGCCCAGGGAATGACTTCAGTAAGGATGCGAGGTACTGACAAGCAAGGAAAAAGTAGGAAAAACACAGATCCTAAGATAATAGGACCTGTAAATTTGCCTGAGTGTGAAAAACGAAAACAAGTCATTATAAAAAAAAGGAATTATATAGAAAGAGAAAAGGGTCCTCGTCTCTTGACAAACGTAGGCCTAAAAAGAGTTTCTAATACACTGGCCAGGATAGTAATGCAGCTGTTTGATGTGCTAGCTAGCTAGGTTTCAAAGTACAAAGTGCGTCTGCGAGCTCCACGTACGCATGTTCAACACAGGGACTATTTTTCCAGGAGCTAGGGAGTCGTGTTACACATTAAGACCATGTTACACTTTAAGACCTCAACACGCGCATGCCTTATAGCCGTGGTTTTCACATCAGATTTAGCGGTAACCAGTGTGAAGCAAACATGGCGGGAAGACCAAAGAACATTCGGGAGTACCAAGTTAATGCCAAGAAAGGAATGCAAGCCAACTACTGGGACTATTACGATATACCTGGCGAGGATTATCAGACATATGCTGACAGCGTCGCCGCTTTCAAAAGGTTAGAAATGGGCAGTGGCGTAATGAGCAAAAACGTTTGACAAAAAAAAAAATCCGCATCACCCCACTCTTACATGCAGGCCCCGCTGAGCGTTTTTTTTCAAATTGGAGTCTAGGGACAAAGGCCTGGCGGGGGACTAGGGGCGGAGCCCCCGAAGTTCAAAAGGTATGGGCATCAGTGCCGGATCCAGGAATTTTCTTACGGGGTGGGCACAAAATGGGGGTGAAATATATGTAAAACGATGAAGCGACCGAGCGGGGCTTTAGCGGCGAGTGAGCGAAGCGACCAAGCGGGGGTGGGTCTGGGAGGCGGTCCTGACCCCCCTCCCAGAGTAGGAAGCATTTGAAATTTTAAAACCACATTAGATGCATTTTCAGGCACTTCCTGGAGTAACATGACGTAAAATTGCTTTCTCCTACCCCTTCCAAGAGTAGGGATCTTTGGCAATTTGAGAACCATATTTGGCGCATTAATGTCCCGCGTTATGCGCGGAAGCTTTGACGTTCAATTAAAGTATTACTCTTAATCCTTGCCCGAATTAATTTTCGCCCATCCCGCGCGAAGCCCGGAAGCTTTCACGTTTCAATAAATTATTAGAGAAATAAGACTATTCGTTGTATCGTGTCCTTGTCTGAATTCAGATTCCCCCCTTCCGCGCAAAGCGTGGAAGCTTTGACGTTTCACTTAATTATTACTCTTAATCCTTGTCTAAAATCATTTTCCGCCATCCCGCGCGTAGCGCAGAAGCTTTCACGTCTCATTAAATTATTAGAGAAAGAAGACGATTCGTTGTACCGTTCTTGAATTTAATCCTAGTCTGAATTCAGTTGACCCCCCTCCCGCGCGAAGCGCGGAAGCTTTGCCGTTTCATTAAAGTATTAAAGAAAGCAGACGATTCGTTGTACCGTTCTCTACCTTTAATCCTTGTCTGAATTTAGTTTCCCCACTCGGCCCCTTAACGGTACACGTGTAGTGTTACATGACTTGTATATTGTGTGTATTGGTAATGAGACATGGCCTTATGGAAGACCAATTTTTTTTAAATCTGAATGAGATGAAATAAATAAATAAATAAATGTACGTATGGAACGTTCGTGCGCATATCTGTGCATGCACAGCCCGAGTGGTGGATAGCATGATTTTCTCCCGGCAGTGCTTGTTGCATTATAGCTTCTGGAAAGGAATTTTCTACTAGTGTTACTGTTAGTGGCCACTAAGGCCCATTATTGACTATAAAAAACAGATGCTCTTCCTGGCTATTTGGGAATGTGTTAGTTTGGAACAGAAATGGAGAAACGCGCATTTTGTTGAAAATCATGTGATATCACGAACATTTATAAATCACTTGTATGGAATTGAAAATAAGTCATGGTTGAATTTTATTGGGGGGGGGGGGCACGCGCCCCCAAGCCCCCCCCCCTTGTGCCTTGTGATAAACATTCGCTTTTTACGAATTGAAGGTCATTACTTATCATGCTAATATAATCAATAATTTAATGCATAATTTAATGTGCCTCGTTACAAATTATTTCATTCACTAGCTGTTACGATTAAATCTACTTACATCAGAATGAAAACTCGCATACATCTAGCTGCATGATGTATTGGAATTCACATTCTGACTTTTGAACTTTACTTACAGGTGAACGATAAATTCCGTTGCTAGGCAATCGTGTGTACATTTGAATGTATTGCGAAAATGGTCCATTGCCATGGGTGTCGATCCGTAACTGATACCTATTCATCAGGGGGGGGGGGGGATGATCTATTCATTCATCCCCCCTGATGAATAGGTATTACGTAAGTATCGACACCCATGTCCATTGCCATCACACATCAGTGCTCGTGAAGGAATCAATAAACCATTTTCAAAATGTATTCGAATTTATACAAGTTCACTGATAGCAACGAGATATTACATTCACCTGTTATATAATATCACATTTCAATAGTCGTAATACGAACAGACTGGTTAGCATATTCAGATTGCATGTATACTTTTAAACAAAGATTGATCTTAACAACCTGGAAGCTTGTCCTAGGCTTGCCCGACATACCAACAATTAAGGTATGTAGGTTGGATTCCAAGTATAGTCATTTATGATTCATGAATAACGGGTTTATGGTATAACTCGTCGCTAGGCCGCCAGAAAGAAACATCCATGAATTAGAATATGTTACTAAACCGGTCTATAGCATTCACAGAGATTTATGCCTTTATTTTGATTGCATCACGGAAATGGCCTTCAGCAAGGAGTTTTAAGAGATGGAGTCATATAAGCTCATTCCCTTTGTACTATCTGCGATGCCGCCAGGAGAAAATATATCAGGCATGTGCTTAACTGGATCTTTATGCAGATATGTAGACAAAAGATTCCTGCCTAGCTGCAAACTAACGGGCCACTTTCAAAGGGAAATATGCTTTTGTAATGATAATTACTTTTGCTACCACTCGTCTGTTCATACGAGCAGTACACAGTGCTTAACTTTATAGGAGGCAAGCGAAAGGAAATGGAGCAAAATTCCTGATATATTAATCAAAATTACTCGACTGAGCATGTTTGGGCACTAATCTGACATCACAAAGAACTGTACTTGATCAAATTCACTATTTCGTTAGCCGGAAATAATCGGAAAAGTGTCAAATATCAGGTTTTTCACAAATAAAAACGGCTATTATACAATGTTGACACAGTTATGTTTTGTATTCATATTTTATCATCTGTTTGATTTAGTTAGTTTAAATAAAAAATAAAACATTAACGATATTTCTTTGTGAAAAAATTACTACTCGCTTTCCAATGATGTTGGCGGCTTCGAACCTCTGACATCGAAGGTAACATTATACCTGTATATTCTATTGTGCAACCTTAGAAAACGGCAGCTGCTTGAAATAATTTGTCGCCAGTTGGGACTCCAGCTCTTACAACTCATTGCCTACATACAGCAAGTGTGACGCAATATATAGTTAGTTCCGGGGTTAGTTCCCCCCAAGTAAAATTAAAACATGGTTTAATTCTAATTCGATACCAGTGTTTTACGAATGTTGCTGAAATGACAAGATTTCCTGTTTTGTTTTAAATCTCACTTTTGCCCGTTATGCCACCTAGTTGTGATGCAGATTTTTAACCAGCCGCCCCCCAAATTTGTTTGCTCATTACGCCACTGTAAAGCATGGTTGTCTACTTGTATTCATTTACATTTCGACAAAAGAAATCACGAGACAAAAAATGTCTTGTAATTCATACAATGCATCAAAAGGAACAAAGCAAAAAACGCCTCACGTCTCTCTCGCCCTCTTCTGTCACTGGCGTATATAAACAACACTGAAAGCCGATATTTGGGCAAAAATGAACTTCTCTTTCGTTGGCCAATTTACTCTGAAATATATATTCACTAAACCCTTACACGGCGTGTATTGTAACTCGTTCTTTTAAGGATGGACTTCATACATGAATATATTTGAATACCTCTTGATGGTCTGTGTCATCGACTTTTATTGTTCACCTTTGGCATGTGTTCAAAACTTCAAACGTAAACATATTTCAATATTACCGGTACATAATTATTGCTCTTTGTACCCCTTTTTAAACATTTATAGTTTGAATTTAAATTTTAATACCTCCGGCAAATTACCAAACCGACCCCAATTTGAAGCTAAGGGTTGTGAGAAATGTGTCCTTAAAGTTTACCAAAGCGGACACATTTTTTTTTTTGGTCTCGAAATTTCAAAATTTGACATTTTTCATCGTTGGGGGGGGGGGGGGGGGTAAGGTCACTTTTTTTAGGTTAGCCGTGGGTATAATTTAATATTTTTATTTTTATTTAAATAATTAAAAACAAAAACAAAAAAACAAAGGGAGGGGGGTTTTAGGTTTTTTTTAGGGGGGTTTACACACATAAAAATACCAAGGGGGGGGGGGGTTGAACCCCCAAACCCCCCCTCCTGCGTACGCCCCTGCTACCAACATGATAATGGCATAAATTCAAGGTTTATTAAAACATGAGTGGCAGTCACAATATATATATATATATATACATATATATATATATATATAATCACATCGTAACAATAAGAAAACGTAAATTGAATGTAAAAGATGCATGGTAAGATTGCATTGATAAAATTGCATTTATAACGGGTATAAAAGACTGTTAGCGTTAAAATCATTATCATGGAATACAATGTCCTTAAGGTTCTCAAGGAAAAAAATAGTGCACGTGATAAAAACGTGTTTCCGGAAAGATCAGGTTTCTTTGTTGTAAAGGAAATGCTCGGCTAGCACCCAGTAAACGAGGGTCGCGAACTTGACCTCATTGAAAACAAGTCAAAAAGTTAAGTCAACAAAGATATTGTGGCATAGATATTGAAGAGAGCAAAAAAATAAAGTGGTGGATTTTGTTTGAAAAGCGGACACATTTTTTTTTTTGGTCTCGAAATTTCAAAATTTGACATTTTTCATCGTTGGGGGGGGGGGGGGGGGGGGTAAGGTCACCTTTTTTAGGTTAGCCGTGGGTATAATTTATTTTATTTTTATTTTTTTTAAATAATTAAAAAAAAACAAAAAAAAACAAAGGGAGGGGGGTTTTAGGTTTTTTTAGGGGGGTTTACACACATAAAAATACCAAGGGGGGGGGGGGGGGGTTGAACCCCCAAACCCCCCCTCCTGCGTACGCCCCTGCTACCAACATGATAATGGCATAAATTCAAGGTTTATTAAAACATGAGTGGCAGTCACAATATATATATATATATATATAATCACATCGCAACAATAAGAAAACGTAAATTGAATGTAAAAGATGCATGATAAGATTGCATTGATAAAATTGCATTTATAACGGGTATAAAAGACTGTTAGCGTTAAAATCATTATCATGGAATACAATGTCCTTAAGGTTCTCAAGGAAAAAAATAGTGCACGATGATAAAAACGTGTTTCCGGAAAGATCACGTTTCTTTGTTGTAAAGGAAATGCTTGGCTAGCACCCAGTTAACG